TTTTTTTTTTTTTTTTTTTTTTTGACAGAAAATGTTCATCAAGGGTTTTTTCTGTTTTAATAAAATTTTTTCTACTGTAGACGGACCACAAAGCCAGAGTTAATTAACTTCGGAGAATCATTAGTTTGATTCGTAGCTATTGGTCACTCCCTGTCTTTTCACTTCAGCCAGTCTTAATTTTACTCCAAGTTTAAATTCTCTTGAGAGTAATATTCTGCAGTCTTAATCCCAGTGACATTGAAAGGTTTTACGTGTTTCTCTGCAAAAATCCATTGAACTGTAATCGTTATCCCAGGCTAATGAAAGTCCGATTTTGTTACTGGGACAGGGTGCTGATTTGCTCTTACCAAATCCTGAACCCTTCATCAGTTAGGTTGCAGCGCTAGTTCGTTTCAAAGTGAAAAACTCAGTCTAAAAACGAAATTGTTTCAAAGTGCCGAAGATAGCTTGTGCAGTGCTGGTTTTTCATCATCTGCTGTGATTCAGTAAGCTTATGAGATTTCCGTTTTTAAGCTTCTCCCTTCTGTCGGTTTGTGGATATTGGCCAGCTACTTGGTATAAAACTGCAGTTGCTGGAGCAGTCCCAAGTGTAGTATTTCCCGATTGGTCTCAGTGACTCCTCTAAAGGTGATATCGTTAAGTTGGGATAGTCTAACTGGAGGGTGCTCAGTTCCCACTGGTCTGTCGAAGGTTGGGGTTTCGAGAACTAGATCTGCTGTTTAATGGAAGGCAAGAATGACTGAATATTTTGATGGATTTTCTGCAATCTCGAGTTAATCCTTGCCTAGTTTATTTGCTCACTGCTAATCAAATTCAAAATCCTATAAATCTTGATTTAAAAAAGCTTCATGCGATCTTTGTAGAGAAGGCATCTACAGTATAGTACTCCTTAAGTTGTATTGTAATAAATATTTTGCGTTGTCCTTGTAGCTGATAAAAAGATGTAAGGATTCCAAAAAATTCCAAAAATTAGAAGAGCCACTAAACAGCGATACCTGAAATGTTTAGTTCGAGAAAAACGAAACATCGCTAATGAAGAATAGTTGTGTTTGGCCAAGATTTGGAGAATTCTGGCATTTTGCGAGAGTGCCAAGGTGGGCGAGTGAACCTTTTAAGGAATGCTAGATTATGTTATACTACAAATTGTGTGGAATAAATTTTGAGGTATTGCGTGGGGACGTGCTATTTGGCCCACTAATTTTTCCAAAAGAAACTTTTAATTCTGTACGTGGAACACTTCCATATTAACCAAAAATTTGCTTAATTTCGTTGATCACTTAATGGTAACAGGTTTCGAAAACAACCGTAGCAAGACGGAGTACTGTGGTTGTATTAAACCTTAACAGTGATTTAATCTGATAGAATTGTTTTGTAAGGCATTCGTACAGCCAGATAACTCACATTCGATCTGAGAAAACGGCTTAGGTGGAATCAGCATGTTATACCCTTTTTGTTACTGAGCTTTCTTTTGACTCCGAAATCGGCCATGTGATGCTGACTTCTTAGGTTTTCAGAAATAACCTATTTGTTACCAAAAGCTTTCTAGGGAAATTATACCCATGTATGTGTACTGAAAAGTCCTGCACTTCGTTTGCTCGTAATAAATCACCATTCTTTCGCCTAATATCTCTATATGTATGAAGTGCTTGAGGGACTGGTTGGGACTCCCGTATTCCGTAGTAAAAATTCCAAGTTTTCCAGCGATTACATCAACCAAGTTCCAGTGTTAGACAAGAGATGTGGGGGAAACAAGTACAAGCTCGTATTAGACTGCTCTCAGGCCCAGGAACGCAGATCCCTTCATAGTTTTAAGCAAATCTCTTATTTTGTAAACCCAAAGGTTTACAAGAGATACTAACAAGTCCAGGACAATGGACTGGTGAGGCGGGACTGAACATGTTGTAACAATTCATCTTATTCCTTAATGGTTACCCAGGAAGTTCCTGAAAACTTCTACGCGTCAACGTTTATCACTCTTTCGAGTCTAAAAGACACTGGCTGCAATTAAAGCGACTACGGAAAAGCCACGAGTTTTCAAACGACACGTCACTGTCGGCAGGTTAAGCTGCATCACTTCAAGTGCGCTAAATGAATGAAATTCTACTAAACTGTTTTCTGAACTGCGTACTTTGCAGAATTATACCTTTTATACGTATTAGAAATTTGCTGAGGTTTTGAAAGATCTTAAGTCGCTTGTTTCCAAGCATATAACCACATAGCTGAAGCTGATACGGTTTACTGCCTTTTAAAAAGCTTGCAGTTGTTAACCCTCGAAAATATTTATTGGCTTCTACCCAGTACTTACACATATTTACAAATTCATCAGTCCAACATTTACACTTAATTCACTCGCTAAATTTCTCATCTTTCGTTTAAATTTTGCAAAGAATACAAAAAACTGAAACAAGTAATGGAGTAAGACACACCATAACCGTTGCCAAACTTCCACTCCTGAGAAAAATTGTGCGGAGTAGCAACTATACGCCAACTGATACCAAAACTCACAATCCAAATACATTTGCTAAAGAAACATCAGAACTCCGCCAAATTAACTACTTTAGCAGTAAGTCCCACTACTACTAAACACTAAGTAAGACCATAACTGCACCGCTCCTAAAAATTCGACCAATGAGATACCACTAACTGCTAGAATAAGTAAAGGATTAATTTCTAAGGTTCGTTAGCAAAGGAAACATGCAGGAGAACATTAAAATACATTCGTCGGTCGAGATTTTTGAGCCGGATAAATTACTTGACCTTTTGCTCATTGTTCCCTCTGAGGTTCCCAATAATACCAGCACTGCCTTTGACCGCCCTTCACGGGGTTTCATTTACAACACTGCATGTCTTCTTATGCTTTGATATTCGCTGCCATAAAGCTACTGTTCTGTTAAATCGGTAAAACACAGCTTCTAACCTCCCAACTTCGTTACTCGCAGGACCGAGGCCTGTCTAAAACTATAGTATCATGCCAAATGAAATACCCTACCAACTTTTTATTCTTCAAAATATAGACCTTCAACAATTCCGTGACAGTGGAACTTACAAAACGTTTTAAACGACTAACACGTTATATCCATTAGCCTAAATAGGACACTTCATCCAGCGCTTCAAAAACGTAAATTTTTACAAAAAAAGAACAATTCGCATCTTATGCCGAAGACCATCCGCCTTACAAGAGACGGTCAGGAACGCACAAGCTGGGACCCAACCAAACTACAGAGCAAATTCATTTGATGTCATCACTTACGCTTCAGTAACCAACTCAACTGGTAGACAACTTCCGTGTCAATTCCTAATACTTAAGAACCATGTTGCTAACTAAACTGTAAAAAACCTTCCCACCCTTTCAAGTTGAAGTTGTTAAACTTTAATAACTGTATAGGCCAAACGTAAGCTACGATAGCAGGCAAGAAAAAACTATGAAACACTGCTCTCTCATCCCCCACAGGAGGAATAATTTGGAAACCCATGCAAAGTGCTCCAAGATCTGCAAACCCGACATTAATCGAAGTGAGGAAATTATGGTTATTTCGCAAAATCTCCTTGAACATGGCGTACAAAGCAAAATCAAAATAGACATGCATAAATAAAAAATTAGAGAGAGTCGAGAACAAAATTCCACTTATTTACACCTGATGAAAAATCTACTACCAAGTATTATTACACAATAACGCCTGACAACTATACCCTAAAGTCCACCCCACCCCGTTTAATCCCATCAGACACGACAGTTCACCCAATAACAAATCGTCCACTTCTGGAAAGTAAGAAACAGAATTATAAGACAAAAAAGATTAACAAACCAATACAAAATAATATTAAGGTTCTTCACGCCTTCCACTAGTTTGATCAAAATGGATATGGATGATATGTGTGGGTGGAGGTTGCCTTGGTTGTGGTCGTTTTTCCACAAAATTCTTTTTGGGTGGCTGTTGATGGCGGGTTATAGATCCAGTTTCCAGCAACTCCTTAACCTCATCGCTCGTTAACGTTTCATATTCGAGAAGCGCTTCAGCCAGAAGCTTATGCTCTTTCTGCAAATGAAGCAGTAACCCCGCATGACTTTAGAGAAAACGAAAAAAATATCCTTTTTTAAAAAAGCTGATATAAAACACCTCCAGTCCTACGTAGCAAAGACAGTTTCTCAATGGCAAAATTTTATACACACCTTGTGTTTCACTAAAACTTCTTTGGCTCGCATATATGACTCATTCAACAGCCTGTTTATTTCTTGATCAATCATTTCCGAAGTTTGAGGACTCAAATCGTTTATTTTCATAAAAGCATTACTATCTTCAATTGAGTAATCTCTCAAACCGACCTGAAAAAACCTGAATGAATCAGCAATTCGAAATGAACTGAAAGAAGTTATCCTTGAAACAAACCTTATCACTCATTCCAAATGTCTTAACCATATTCGTAGCAAGTATTGTGGCTTTTTTAAGGTCGTTTGCAGCTCCAGTAGTTACCTTTTCTGCACCAAACACCAATTCTTCTGCAACACGACCTCCCATCATCATATCTAACTGAGCCATCATCTGCGCTTTCGTCATATGATACTCATCTTTTTCAGGTAAAATAGCAGTCTAAATATATTAAGGCTACAAAAACCTCTCCCCCTTTCCGTTCGCAAGTAATGAATCTTGAAAAAAGAATTATGAAGGCACGAATTATGGTGGTTTGCAAATCAGTTTCTGCAACACGAAACTTACATGACCGAGAGATTGACCACGAGGTATGATGGTGACTTTATGTAGTGGTGTAGAATCTTTAGTGAATAAACCAACTAAAGTATGCCCTGCTTCGTGATAGGCAGTTATTCGATTGGCTTCTTCATCAGGCAAGCGCCCTCTCAATCTCGCAGGCCCTACAGTATAATGAATTTTTCAATGTTATCATTAATATTTCAATAACAGCAAATCGAGAAATAGGCCTAAGTACACTATTTACTGTATTTAACAAGGAACCCATAAGTATCCTATCCCGAGCCTCTTCAAAGTGAGGAAGCATCACCATCGGGCACCCTTCAACTGCAGCCCGTAAGGCAGCTTGATTAACCATATTCTCGATATCCGCCCCAGTAAATCCTGTTGTTCCTTTTGCCAAAGTGTCGATGTCCAATTCGTCGGTATGAACTATCTTACTAAGATAATGGCTGAAAAAATGCATTAAAAAATCCTAAATTCAGGTCCGAAAACGAATCTGTTAGGTATTCAGTAATGGCATATTAATAAGGGTGAATGTTGATTACCCGAAAATGTCCTTCCGGCCTAGCAAGTCGGGGGGATTAACCATGACACGAAGGTCGAAACGTCCTGCCCTCAAAAGAGCTTTATCTAGATCCTCAACTCGGTTTGTAGCTCCTATTATAATGACACCCTCATTCTGTTTGAAGCCATCCATCTCAGCTAACAACTGCAACAAACTTCTTCGCATATCTAATGCATTCTTTCCGCTTTGGCGGACGTCGTGAGAAGCAGAAAAAATAAAATGGTGGAATTATTTGGTAGAAAAAACCTGGTTTATAGTTTGATTAGCATAAGGATGAATGCCGTTCGAAATACGTTTCGACCCAACAGAATCTATCTCATCAATAAATACAATGCACGGGGCACGTTGCTTAGCTCGATCTGGAAGGAAGTTTTTGAAGATAAATTAACACAGTAGTTTAAAGGAAAACAGACGAAGCGTAAAGAAATACAAACCAAATAAATCTCTCACTCTCCGTGCACCCTGACCAACAAGTAACTCATCAAATTCAGAACCGGATGTATGGAAAAACGGCACCTAAAAAACACGCTGTGACTAAAAATGAATAAACAAAACTTCTTTAATAAACCTTTATCACCTGGGCTTCTCCAGCAATAGCCCTTGCTAAAAGTGTTTTCCCTGTCCCAGGTGGTCCAACAAGAAGAACACCTTTTGGAAGTCGTCCTCCTAGTCTAGAGTACCTTTCAGGGTCACGCAAATAAGAAACTATTTCTTCAACCTCTTTCTTAGCCTCATCCATCTGAAAAAGACAAATTCCATCAGAAAGTTCTACTACGTTTAGAAGTCCAGTAGCAAATATTAGAAGTTTGACCAACCAAATAGTACACCTTAAAACTGCAATAGCTGACAAACAAAATTCATGAAAAAAAAGCAAGTTATTCCGAAATTTCAGAAAATTATCTTTAAGACAAAATCACTTACTCCTCTAACATCTTCAAAAGTAACTGAGATGTCCTCCGGCTTTACTTCTTTTGCGTTTGAAAAAATCAAAGACCCCAGCTGGCGATCCCCAAAAGAGAAACGGAATGCTAAAAAATTACTTGCCCACTACAGTATATAGACTGCACTATATAAAAAAGTTCTGAAATAACTTTTATTTTCCAAACAGTAACACATTTTTAAATATAACTCAATCAAACATTTACAGCTAAATCAGTTTTTAATTTCTATTAAAAATCAAGACTTACTGCCAAACAAGCTAAAGAAGATACAAAGACCAATAACAAAAGTAGCAAAAGTTCGGAAGGCGGAGGGTTTCTTTAAAGGAGCTGAGCCACTATCACTTCCTTTCATAGATAATATACCCTTTACAAAGCCTTCCTAAAAGCACAAACTTTGTATTAAACGACTCTTAAACGGCAGAAAGTTGCAGGAAAAAGTGTTTTTTTATTGCGAAGCAAAATGTCCATAAATTAAAACGAACTGTGAAAGTCTTCTGCTGTGCTTCAGGTATTTTTTTTACCTCCGACTCGTATATATTCCAACGGTCTCCATCATTTCGATCTAAACCCTCTGGTAGTTTCTGAAATGTGAAATTCACCTCATTAAGTATCAAAAAGGTTTCAAAGTATTCACAAAAACTGCACTTTTGAAAATGCAAAAACAAAAAAAAAAACGATGAATAAAAACAGTTATAAACAAGAAGTAACATTTGCCTTATTATTAGCTTTCAACATGGAGAATAATCGAGAGAGTAGAGAAACTTCTTCATTATCTTTCTTCCTCGCACCGATGCTTTTAGGTGAAGAACGAGTACGAAAACCCCTACGCTGGATATCTGTAAAAATATGCAAAACCTTTCACGGAAAAATGTAGCTGTTTCTGAGCAATAATCAGATAAGAGAAACCACTTCGTGATCACCAGAATCAGTTGAAAAAGCAAAGGAAAAGTGATGTATTTAGCACAACTTACAAATGTGGGACGAACTGGCGCACACTGTCAAGCTCATCGTATCATTAATTTTGCATGTTAGAGCTCTGCTGCG